TACAAACATGAACACCATATACTCGACTCGGCTCGGTCGTTGCAGCGCCTAGTAAAATACTTTGTTAATGCGTTTCATGACCTTTCATAATCGGAGAAGAAGATAAGTGGATAATATTCCATCCAAATTCTTAATAGCTTAGTTCGTTAGAAGAGGTTTAAATGCAGTGCTTGGTTGCTTTGGGACTAAGAATTTGAAATAGGAGTTGAGGTTTCATGCTTTAGTAGATAACTACTGTTAAAACACAGCTCACTTGGCCTGGTTTTTGTTGAGAGCGTTATGCGTTAACTAAGAGGTCTGGTTGGAGTCTTGTATGATATACGTGTGTGTGTGAGTTAGGGTGTCAGATATTTGACACGACACGAAAACTCGACTCAGAACCCGACCAAAAAATCCGGGTTGGAACTCGCCCGAGCAAAACGGGTCGGGTTCGTTGATCCGACAGGTTGCCGGGTCAACCCGTAGTTGACCGAAACGCTGCAGTCGAGCCAGCCCGAGTCCGAGCCAATGCCCGAGCGCCGGGACCCGTGATCGGATGCAGCGCTTCGCCTGCGTGCGGCTCTGGGCGTCGCCGCGCTGACGCTCCGCCAGCGCTGCAGCGGTCGCTCGGTTCCCCCCGTCTCGACGCGCTCGCGGCTTCGCCCGCGCTCGCGCGGATCGCCCCGACTCGCCCTGCCGTCGGCGTGCCGCGCGCTTCCCCGCAACGCTCGCGGGTCGTTCGTGTCGGGGTCAACCCGACAACCGCGGGTCGGGGTTCGGGTTCGTTTTCGACAAGCCGTTTGCCTAACCGGCGGGTTAAGGGTCAACCCGTTTGAACGGGTCATCCGGTACCGACCCGAACCCAACCCTGACCCAACTTGACACACCCTATGTGTAGTTTGCCTTAATTGGCCTAAAGCCCAAAAAAAGAATATCACTGTAATTCTGAAAGAGGTGTTCTAACAATTCATTCATATCCATCTTTTTCAATGGAATATTGACTTGATACAGCATCAACAAAATTAGCTTGATGGGCACAAATTTCGAGGCAATGCTAGTTGAATCTTCAAAAATTAAATCCGGGAGCTCCCGAACTCTGATTTCAGCGAGCTATAGTCAAACGACGCTGGAAATACGAACCCAACGACACAAGATCAAACCGCAATTTAAGTTATCAAACGTTCTCCGATTTTAACGAGCTTATACTTGAATCGAGCGGCTCAACGAGACAAATCCAATGAGCCCAAGATCTCCAAATTCCGACATCATTAAGGCCTCCAAATATCCAACAAACGGTGCACGATTGAAGGGTTCAATATCGGCCGTCTATTCAAACCGGCCACTCCCTATTCGCCCATGATCTCACACCTATTTACGAGCTATGCCACTCCAGAAAAACTATAAATAGAGTCATCATTCTACAAAAAGGGGACTCAAGTGAAGAGAGAGAAGAAGAAGAGAAGGAGGAGAAGGAAGAAGCACCTCCTCGACCACCGCCGGAGCTCTTCCTGCCTCCTGAAGACGCCGGAACTCTGCCAGATTTTTGGGAAACGCCGGGAATTTCTTGAACTTTGTAACTTTGTGAGAAGTTGATTGTAAACTGATCGTCTTGATTTGCAAGGCGGATCAACCTTTGTACTTCATACAAACACTAGTGGAACTTTACAACTGGGCGAGACCCCGTGGTTTTTTCCCTTTTTGGGTTTTCCACGTAAAAACTCTGGTGTTCATTTCTCTTTTCTGTTTGTGTGCTGAATACTCGTACAACGCTAAGACGAATATTTTCTAACTCTACCGCCGCGTATATTCTAGCACGCAACAGTACTCTTGTTAACAACTTGTCTGTTTCTTCTCTTTTATTGAAACTCCTCAAATATGGGACAAATGATTTTGCACTAACAATGGATAGGAGAACCGTTCGGTGTCCGCACAGAATAATCTCTCCAAATATGGTGAGACAAAGTCTTGAACTAATTAACTAATTTTATAATTTTGTTTCAATAATGATTGATTAGACAAAAATTTAAATAAAATATTTGTATAAAGAATAACAAATTTATTTGAATTGAAAGGCAGATAATGCTAAATTGATATGCCAGCATTTTATAATAAATTCTAGTGATATTAGTGCATTAACAAACCCAATATCTATAAGAATTTTTAAAAAAAAATCTCTAAGAATATTTATCAGAATTAATTATATTTATTTATAAACTAATTAAATTATTATTTTAATATTGGAAAAATGAAGAAAAAGCCTAATTTGTTGATCATTAAAGAACTTTAATAGACTTTAAGTCTATATTTTATACTTTAGGACTAAAAAGCCATATTCACTTTTTCTTTGTTTTAGTAATAATATAGTCATATTATACTAATATATTGATGGATAAGAATATTAAATTCATTATGACTAATAAAAAAAATAAAGGTAACTGCAACACAAGAATTTCGTTTGAGATAATTTTTTTACTGCTTTGCTTTTCAAAGGGCAGTCACACTTTCTATTTGAACACTGCCTTTTTGCTGTTTTCAGGAAATTTCTTATGCTATGAAGCTATTTTTCACAACAACTTAAAAAAAAAAAATACTTTCTCAACAACAGTTTTATAATCGCTTTTATAAATAGCTGCAGTCGTCCCAAACGGACCTTCAATATGACTCATTTCAAAATTAAAATGTAAATATTTTTTTAAGGCCTAAAATAAAACAAACTTGGCCTTGAATGTTGATGCTGGAATAAGATTTTGTAATTGCAGGGCTTCAATTTCATTAGAAGATGAATTCTAAAAGAAAGGTACCAGTTTGTGATAATAGAGCTGGAAGGCACATGAATACTTAGCTAGTGGAATAAGAAACAAGTAAGCATCAAGCACTGAAGATTCCTTCTTCTAATTTTTATTTTCAGATTATCTGATTATGGCATGTGAGGACTGGATTGATTCAGTGTTGGACTATTCAATAGAAATATTATCTAGATAAAGTAAAATAATAATTTTATCTTTACAATGGTGTTTTTAATTATAGCAACATAAAGAATTCAATTTTATTTTAAGTAATCAATCATGACTATTTTTTGCTAAAAATGATTGAGATGGACTTCATTTGAGATAACTTTTTTACTGATTTGCTTTACAAATTGTAATCATATTTTTTATTTCGTTATTATTTTTTAACTATTTTTAATATTTTTTTACGATAAGATTTACACAAATTTTTTTTTAAACTACTGATGTAGGACATAAATGCAAAGAATATGATTTAATTAAGAAATTTGCACGTTTTAAATTTAGAGAGCAATAATAAACAAAACTTATATTGATTTAACGATAAGATGAAACAATAAGGTGATAAAATAAGCTTATGCCAAATCACATGCATAGAAGTTAAGATAATAAAATAGTCAATTAATCTAACGTTGCATAAATGTAAGCTTTTCAATAAAATTCCTATGTTAACAATAAGAGTAGTCACTATGCAAGGATTCCTTACTCAACATCCTAAATGACTATGCTTTAGTGGAGGGATCAACAGGACTCTTTGCGAATCAAACTATAAACCACAATTGAAAGGTGAATTAGGAAGATATAAGAGTACGAGGAAAAGTTTACCCAAGGGAAAGACAATTATTGAGCTTCGGTGTGATCGTTGTGATGCAGTGGAAATGAATGGACAGCAGCACAATCCTCCTAGCTGTCTGAGACAGCATTTTGGCAATCTGCATGCCTTGGACAACAGCCGGAGACCTTTCTAATTGGCGGAGCAGCAAAGGAAAGGTGCAGAATCCTTTGAACAACAATTCTGACAGTAAGGACAGCAGTTTTGGGCTTGAGGTAGAAAATGAACAGCTGTTTTGTTTTGCCGATTGCAACCATAATTTTTATTTTATTGTTATTTTTTTAATTATTTTTAATAATTTTTTGTGCTAAGATTTACAGCAATTAAAAAAAAACTAATTTCTCCACAACAACTTTACAACCACATTTATAAAAACAGACCCATAATCTAATTAATCTTCAAAATATTTGCTATTTAAACTACATCATTACCTAAAATTTCTATTCATATTATTTCATTTTAATGTGAGAGTTACTGAGCTAGTAGAAAATCAAATATTTCCTTAAAATCATATATGTATTACACATACAAGAGACCAAACAATCTAATTAGTAATGTGGTTATCTTTTAATAAGTCTGAGACACCCTCAAATCTTTATTATTGCAAAAACAACAAGGAAGATGCCTGTTTTGCAGATTAAACGCTCCTAGAAAAATCAATGCACAAAATGTCCTCAAGAAGCATATACTTAAAAGAATCTTCAGATAAATAAGAGACTTCAGAACTTGGAATACCCTATTTTGTCAAGCCCAGCTCTTCTGGTCAGATCTGTTGTGATCAGAGAAGCATTTTAATGTTCCATAAAGCTTCCTCCTTTGAACATCTCTATGTTCTAAGAGAAATTATTCAGTGCGGACATCGGACCGTCCAGAGACGAATCAAAGCATGCCACATCACCTGGTACACCGCTACATTACACAATAAAGGGGTGACATGGCGCACTCTGATTTATCTCCAGACAGCATTCGTATCCACAGAATATTTTCACCCAGTTCTAGGCCGATAATGAATACATAAAAATTTGAATACACAATGTAAACCTTAAAGTGAATAATGGCTATTGCCACTTCAAAGTTGCATCAACACTCCCCCTAATTTAAATAATTGTATAAAGAATGAGAAATTTTTCAAAATGATCCTTTGAATATTTATGAAAGATTAAAATAACTCTCAACTATATTAAGGGATCATTTTAATCCCTCAACTTCTTAAAGAACAATAAAAATAATCCTACTATAGAACTATTTTGATTCCTTTTAAAGATCTTCAAGGACCAAAATAATTATTTAATACAATTAAGGATAATTTTGATCACTATAAATACACTATAGATAGATATATGTATATCTCAACACTTCCTCTTCCCTTAAATGTTACCTGCACCATTTAAAAGGGAAATGAATTAGGGGCAAGCAGAACAGAAAACTGCTTTATTTCTTTCTCATTAAACCTCATCATCCAAAACATCTTGAAATACAAAATCTATCAATGAGAACCAATTCTAACCAAAATTTAAAGGAGAAGTTCAATGATGTACACGTCAAAATTAATTCCTATGACCTACTTGTTGGACTCTCCTATTATTTCAACTTCACTTGAAGAATCGGATTCAGCAGTTACGGTTAACTTAACCTGAAAAGAAAGCTTTCAACTCTACCAGGCAGTAAAGTGCCTCTCCATTCATCTTCCTTGAAGGCCTAATAGAACTTCCAATGATCCCTCTTTATTACATTTTGATGACTTCCCATTGTCAACTGTGTTCAACTGTGCAGAGCTCTTGATACAGCCTCAGTTCTTCGTTCATCTTTCAGTTTTCATAATATGTAATAAAGAGGCTCTTGCTCAAGCATCTGGAATGCTGCTTGACCTTATAGAGTATTCAGAGACAAGTTTCATAAACATTGATGTCTTGTCCTCCAAAAGCCTATGTGGGCTGTCAAACTCTGCAACTTTCCCTGATAAATACAAGTCAAAGCAGTAAAATAAAAAATCTTGATGATATGGGTTATGGTTAACTCTATGGTTAATAGAAGATATCGCATCTCTGATAAATTCTGAAGTTCTTGTAGTCTACAATTGAAAAATCAATCGAACAAACATATAAAAGAAATCGTGAAATTTTTATTATCTTCTTACATTATTCTTTTATGGAGAATAATCAAACTAATATCAATTTTCTTTTCTGAATTTTGATTTCTTGATTAACAAATTCTTAAGAACAATCTCATAAAAAGATTTAAATTACATCAATGTTTTAAAGGATTTGTTAATGATGATTACCTTCAAGGCTTCAACTAAGGCCTCATTTGGTTGCCTGTAAGTTCTCCATTTCTAATTTCAATAGGCGAAAAAAAAAAATTATTTTATTGTTTGTTTACGCGACTTTTTCAAAATACCAATTGCTACACCTCCGTATTTTTGTCGATCTGAAAAGAAAAAAAATTCTGCTTATCCGTTGTAATACCTCTGTTTAAGAACGAAAAAACTTCGGGGGGAACCAAACGAGGCCTAAAAATCTAAAACTCTTATATTTCATCAAATCTAAAAATGCTCAATTCCTAACAACAAATCGTTAAGCTATTTTGATTAATTTTATTAAAGAGATAGTAGATTCATACCAACATGAAATTTATTTTTTTCTCATCATAACCACCCACCTCTAGTAATTAAATTGACAATATACATGCTAGTTTTTCTTTGGTTTATTTTATGCTGATATTTTCTCCGTTTTCTAGGGATGTTGAATTCTCCAGATTTCCTCTTGGCAACTCTGCTTTCTACAATTATTGAGGGGACCTAGATGGTGGTTTTTCAGAGCTTTACACAGTGGATTAATTTCCCATGTTTGGGTTCTACACGACAATGTTTTGCTGAAGCTTTGGTTTGTTTGGGAAGTGGTCTTGGAATCTTGTTGGCAGTGATTTGGCGTTGGATTGGCTGCGAGTTATGTTGTCCCTGAAGTTAAAATTGGCCAACAGGGTTATTTAATTGAATGTAAACAGTAGTTAAATAGCTTGGCTGGCGGGTTATATAAGTTATAATAATTCACAGGTTTCCTATTCAGCGGGACATGTGGGCCTCCATTTTCTTCCTGTGCAGATATTGCGCCTGCGAGTGGCTGAAGCTATCCTATCTTGCACAGATTTTTGCAACACTAGGGATTCAGAATGAGGTTTAAATCGCTGTTTTTATATTTTAAATTACCAAAAAGGGAGAAATTTGTGGTTATTGTTGCATGCTAGAATATTCGCGGCGATAGAGAGATAAAATTTAACGTCGAACTTTGTACATAAATTCAACACACACAAAGATGAGAGAGAGTGGTGCAACAATCATAAAAGACAACATAATTTCTATGTGGAAAATCTTAAAAAGGAAAACTACGAGGACTAGCCCAGCTACAATGATCCCACTAGTGTTTGTTGTTGATTACAAAAGATGCCCTTCCTCTAAAAAAGGTGCTGACATAATGTATAAATATACAATATATAAAGCATATTACATGGTTGGAGCTAGAAGAATCTTACGACGTGAGAGTTGTTCTTAAGCATATGTTGACTTGTTCATTTGATTGGTAGGACTGCAGTCAGGCGACGGATGTTAGAGGAGCCGTAGTCAAACGACGGAGGTTGGAGGGACCGTTATTAGGCGACGGAGGTCGGAGGAACCATAGTTGACGGTCAACAAAGGTCGAAGGGACCATTGTTGGGTGACAGTGGTCGGAAGGATCGTAATAGGGTGACTGAGGTTGAATGGACCGTGGTCGGAAGGACCATCTTCGGCAGGCAACAGAGGTCGAAGAGACCGTATTCAGTGGGCGACTGAGGTCAATGGGACTGTTGACAAGCGAAGGAGGTCTGAAAGACAATAGTCGGCAGGAGACGGAGATCATAGGGATCGTAGTCTGGAGTTGAACTTGATATTATATGATACTTTTTATGTCATTCCTATATTTAAAATTATTTTGCTCTTATAATATATGAATTTCAATTCTATTTCATGCAATTTATCACGTATCACTTTTGTCTTGTGCATTGTGCAATTTTTTATATTATATGTATGCCAATTTATTACTTTATAATTCTATAGAATTAACATGTCATCCTTTAGTATATTATTTGAGTATTACATTAAAAATCACTTTTTAACATTTATTTTGATTTAACACATTTTTTTTTAAGGCTTACGCCTTGAGGCTTGCGCCTCGTTTTATGAACAAAAAATGCCTCAATACCCAATTGCACAATTTTAAACCTTGGCTCCAATGAATCAATCAGCTATCCAAATAACCGCCCTTGATCAACCAGTATAGTTTATCTCACTAGCAATGTGTGCACGTGACGAATGCCAAGCACTTGTTCCAATTCCTTGCTTGATTTAGCAAGAAATTCAAGCATAGTCTCGTGTCTACAGCTTGATTTTATACTGCCTACCAATTTTATGGAAATTACAAGAAGCTTGCCAAAGATGACTCCTATAGTTGCAAGACACACAAAAGTTAGGGGATGAATAGCCACCACATCTATTTTTACAAGCATATCTGATGGGGACATCAGATCATCATGGAGAGTTTATCAGAGACGCGGCCGCCGATCTACGACCACGATCGAGTCTTTATATTTTTGAGTTGTTGATGTATTTTTATTTTCATGTGCCTTGTTATTTGCTTATGTGGCATTGTGAGCCGTTGTATTTTATTTTATTTTATTTTATTTAGTTGCTTATGTGTTTTCTTTCCCGTAGTACCCCTCTTATGGGAGTTGTCGTATGTAAGCCCAAAGGGCGTTTGTGTCTTTTGTTTCGAGTCATGTTGTAGGAGGCTATTTAAAGCCCCACTTTATTCTATTTATCATCAAACCAAATAACTGATGTTTGTAATAAAACTACATTACATATTTCAACAAGCTAAAAAGCCCGAAAGTATGCTGTTGTATTGTTATTGTCAAAATCTCAGTCATCCCTTAGCATTTGATCCCACGGTCAGGATGAGAATCCGTGGGAGGCTCACCTGGATCACGCCAATATCCTTCTATATTTGGGTAGCTGAATTAGGAAGGATTATATTGAGGCAATTATGTATCAATTAGAAGTTATTTATTTCTTTATTAAGACATCTTGTATAGATCTATAAATAGGGATAATTTTGTATAATAATTAGAAGGTATTTTTACCTTTTCAAATTTTATGAATTGTAACAATTTTGTTTCCTAATTTGGGTTGGAATTAATTGGGATTAATTTGAAATTCAAATTCACCTAAATTTGAATTCAAATTATTTCCTAAATTAGCTCTTCTATTTTAGGAAAGTTTCTTAATTAACTCAATTTGAATTTCAAATTCAAATTGAATTTAATTGGGTAATTACCTAATATTCCTAGCATATTAAATCTACCTAAATTCCCCTCGATTTTCTCCCTGGCTTCTATTGCCGCCGGCCCCATCTTTGGATTCCAATAGGATTAGTTTCCTAATCCTCCAACCTTTCCAAGAAAATATTTCTTAATTCTATTCTCATTTATTTGGCCGAATTTCCCTTATCCCTGATTTCCTCAATTAATTCCCTAAGCCTAAGAATTGATTCAGGAAATCAAAACCCCAATCCTCTGGTTCCCGCCGCCTCCCCCTTTCTTTCCTTTTGTTTTCCTTTTCTTGCCGCCTCTCTCTTTCGCTACCTCTCCTATCTCATGAAACTCTCTGTTGAGATTTGGGTATAATCAATTCCCAACTGGTTCCACTCCCACATCAGAAGATCTGAGATTTTTCTTCTCAGATTTTGGCTAGAAATCTGAGAAATTTGGAAGGATTTGGATTACTTCTACAAGCATATGAAGAGAACATCTTAGTTCTTGGACCTTGGATATTCGTCATGAGTAGTTGCTATCGCGGAGGATTGCCACGTCTCTTTGAGCAAAGGTTTTTCCTTCTTTCACTTGCATTCAAAGTCTTCTAAATCTAAGTTCTCGTTTGGTTAGATTGTATTCACGAAAGCATACTCCGAATGCTCTTGCTAAGCCTAGTAATTCATAGGTCATTGAGTGTACTTTCTTTGCATCCTAAATCTCATTGTTAGACTAGGGATTAAATTGAAGGCTACTATTTTGCATTGTTTTACTTGTCTTACTTATCTTGAAAACCTCAAAGCTTGGAGCATGTGAATTAGCCTACGCAAATCACATCTTTATTTGTTTTAATTGACGTTGAGAATTGCTAATAATTTTAAGCTAAAATTATTCTAATCAAAGAATTGTGCAATGCTTAAAATGAAGCCATAAGCATGTCACCTAAGTAGTCCTGCATCAATATCACAAAAAAGAATTCTGACTTAATGGTCACCTACCACTGACAGATTTGCCCAAGTTTCCACCAATATGTCACGACCTCGATATTCAACATAGGTTCCTCACTTGGTTTATGTTTTATGGAGTGACTTCTTGTTATTAAGTTTTAACTTGAGGATAAGGTCAATTTGAAAGGTGGGCGATACTAGGGATCTAAAGTGGGTTTATTGTGGGTTAATAGTAAAATAAATATTACAGACATTGAGTTTAGTTAGGTTGTTACGTACTTACTAGGTAGTTATTGAGCTGAGTAGTCTTGTATCCCTATAAATAGTCTTCATTTAGAGGATTTGGGCATGAAGATGAAATGAAAACCCTCAATTGTTTGATATATTCTTCTTCCTCTTCTACCTTCTCTCGATCCTACATTTTCTAGGAGTTGTCGATGTACTACAATCATCGTTTATCATTGTAATGCTTCAAGGGATGTAACAGATAACTTATGCAACCAAGTGGATGAATGCATATTTTAACATGGGATACATGTTATTTCAAAGTTGGAAGGTCCCAAAACAAGTAAATTAAGTTTATATAAAATGAATGTATCCAATTTAAAAATATGATTTATCAAAAATACAATTATATAATTTGGATAGGGAGGATGAAATTTACCATCACTAAGAACCAAAACAAGATCGCTATCGATTACAGTTGGGATGCGATGTGCTATTGTGCAAACCGTGCAATCCTTGAATTCACATCGTATGATCCTCTGAATCAGATTATCGGTTGCAGTATCAACAGAAGCCGTTGCTTCATCAAGAACAAGTATTCGCGCCTGTTTTAATAAAGCTCTTCCTAACGAAACAAGCTGACGCTGCCCTACACTCCAATTCTCTCCATTCTCAAGTACTGCAAGAAAGAAATCAACATAACCCTTGTCAGCAACAAAAGGATGCGCAGAGGCATCAATGCTCTCTAATATACTCCATGTAGTACAACATGTTATGTATTCTCAAAGAATGCATGTATGGTTAAACAAAAATATTTATTTTCATGCACACAAACTTTGAATAGTACCTGGAGAGTCTAATTTTTGTTCCTTTTGGCGGATGACCTCACCAAGTTGACACTTGTCCAATGCCTGGAAAACAATGACATTAGTTCAAGAAAATCACAAATTTATATATGTTTAATTAAATGAGCTAGGATTTTTGTTTTACCTGCCAAATTTCATAATCAGAGTGCTCTTCAAGTGGATCAAGATTGCCCCTAATTGTACCTTCAAACAAGGTAGGATCTTGTGGAATGATACCAAGACGGCTACGAAGATCATGAAGGCCAATAGTAGAGATGTCTATATCATCAATGACTATCTTTCCATGTACCGGTTCAACCAAGCGGAAAAGTGCCTGTATAAGGGTAGATTTACCGCTTCCCGTACGCCCAACAATGCCTATTTTTTTACCACCAGGAAACACGCAAGTTACACCATGGAGAACTATTGGCAAGCTCTCCTTGTAACGAACCTTTCAAAGAGTAAAGATGAATAAATTTAGCTAAACATCATTATCTACAAACAGATAGAGGAAAAGATGAACTAAAGATGATGACAAGTGGTGTTAGTTTTAACTACATGAAAAATTTTAACTGCTATCAAATATAAAGTTACAGTAGTAAAGATCCAGATGAAGGTTGAGTGTTTACAAAGGGAACTTATGAATAATGACTACAATCTAAGTCAGTAATTTTTAAGAAACCAAATTTTATTTTAAACAGAAATAAAGTAAATAGCAACTGTCATCAAAGATTTATTGGATGACACATTTCAAATAAGGCTTCGTTTGGTTATTCGGTACTTTTATAAAAGGCATTTTTAAGAAACATTGGTTCAGAAAAAGTAGTTTTCTAACGGAGAAAGCATATATAAAAAACTTTCTCAAAACAGCAAAAAAATGAACAAAATAGTGTTATTGGGAACGTGGTTTGAGGAACCAAACAATAAAGAAGAAATAACTTCACCGTTTTAAAAAGGAATAAGCACAAAAAACGCCCAATCAAATTAGGCCTAAGAATGGTCACTTATATTAGTTAGAGGGATTAAAGGAACAATAATAAATCAAACACATTTAAGGCTTAAACAGCAATTATGGAAAGTAATAGCACAGAGAAAATGGCAGTTGCACACCTGGAGGTCTAGTAGTTCAATCTTCCCGTTCACAGGCCACGAAGGTGGAGGTCTAGAATTATCAATAATAGTTGGAGCTTCACTAGGAATTTGGCAGTACTGGTGTATGCGCTCTATAGAAATAATCTTATTTTCAAGTTTACAAAAGCTCAATATCCACCGGGACAAGCGGGCATTTAAATTAAGACCGTATGTTACAGCTAGGCCCGCCATACCTAAGATATGAAAAAGCATATTTCATTAACAAAAAAAGGTTCACATTTCACAATAATATCACGTATAAACATGAAATTCTTAAACCTTTAAAATGTGTCTGGGACAATACTGGTGGAATGTTTAAGTATAAATTCTAAAAAGTACATTTTAAATCAGCTTTCGTACATCTAATAGTGATTTTTGGAAAGGAAGCTACAATAAGTTGCCAGAATTTAGAGAATGCGTACTTGGATCAATACTTCCATGTGGGAAACTAACAAGAAGTGTCATGCAGAAAGCAAATACAAAAGTAGATAGCAATTCCATACGCAAGCATAGCCATTCAATTGCTGCAAGACTGCAAAAGAAAGGGCGTGAAAAGCAATCAAGAAGGTACAGGTTCCTTTTGATGAATCTCTTTTCTTGTCCAAATCCTCTAATAGTTGAAGCGCCAGCAATAGATTCCCCAAAAATATTGATAATTGGAGACTTCTGGATACTGACAATACGCACAAGCTCTCTTGATGAAGCCATATAATACTTCTGTTGAAAGCAAAATTTCAATGTTAAAACCTTACAACAAATTTCTACTCTTTGATGTTTATTAATGACAAAAAAAAAAAAAGATGTACTGATGAGCATGCTGCTATTCTTCACAAATAGCAAAATCAAATGCTTAGAATACCTAGGAATGTAAGCTAACGTAATTGAACGACAATCACTTCTGATATTTCAGTAATCAGGCAGATTTCGCAAGATGTGAGAAATGATTAAAATTCAAGGTTTATAGTTTGCACGTTATATTTAATATTTATCATATATTAGGCAGATTTCGCAAAAAAAAAAAATATATATATATATATATATATATATATATATCTTTTAAGTCTTCATGATATTTTCTTCTTTATCACTAATCTATTTTAAACACAAATGCTGATGAACTCTAGAATTTATATCCACATCTATATCCCCAGTCTTCTATATAATTGATCCAAGAGAGTTAAACCAATTAAACCGTTTTAAATTCAACTAAAATTTACTAGCAATTATTAATAGCACCTCAATAAAATTACATATGATATACTTGACATTTTATTTAATAATCTTAAACAATTTATTTTCTAAATATTTTCTCCATTATGCTCAGGTGGATGAGTAGCTTTACTCTTAGAGATAGAATGTGAAACGAGCATATACATGGAAAGGTTGGAGTAGTTCCAATGGCAGATAAGATTAGAGAGAGTCACCTTGGATGGTTTGGTCAATAAAATGTCGGTGGCTTTCTAATAACCCAGTTAGGAGAGTAGATATATTAGATTTGGCATATGTTAAGAGAGGTAGGAGTAGACCTAAAAAGACTTAGTTAGAAAATATTAGAAATGACCTTTTTTATTAGATTTAAATGAGAATTTGATTCTTAACATGACACAATAGAGGAAAAGAATTCATGAAGCACATAGTGGCATATACGCTTGATGTTGTTCTTGTAGTATTATAATTTTTCACTTATTTCAATAGTTGATTATATCATCTCTAAAAAAACATACATCAAATCACCCAACTTTGAACATTATTTATAAGCATTGACAGGCCCAATATAAAGAGAACTTTCTATTCACCTTAAAATTATTGTCCATACTAGTCAATGCTTCATCATATATCATAATATGGTTAATAATTTCACATAAAACTCAAAATATGGTCAAAGCTTGATCAAGTTTTGAGTTAATTCAAATCGAATATGATATATTTCAAGCCCAATTACGAGCATCTCAAATAAAACTTTCTTTCAAAACAACTATGTTGGATATGGCTTCACTCAAAATGAGATTTGAGCCAACTCAAAATTATGACAACAAAAATTTACGTCACAAAGAAAAAAAAATTATCAATGGAGTAGGCTCTGAGGAATCTTTTACGTTCATCATTGGAGTTCTCATTTGTCTCAAAATACTCATCATCATATGTTAAAACTTCACATTCAAAAATAACCATCATTTTGGTGATATCAATGATGAAATGATGAATGGATGCAAGCAAACTCGACTATTCTATCGAATCCAATCAAGCAATTGAGTGGAGTTATCCAACTAAATCAAGTTGCAACGACAGCACCCACACCACAAATCGTGTAAATCAACACTAAGTCAACCCAATGTAATGATAGTAGGTTATCATAGTGCACCAAGAGGAATCCAAGAAAACGAGACATAATCCAAGAGGAAAAATATAAGAGATAATGAGGATGTTAATATTGTTGATACATGAGTATTTGGTTATAATGAAAAAGTTACAATCGACCATATATGGAGTTTTATTAAAATATATTAAATACGAAAGACAACTAGGCCGACAATTACTAAGTACTATTCTCATCATCTCCTCTAAGGTCTCTCCTCATACCCTTATCATCTCTACTTGCCTCGTCCAAATGGACGACTAAGTATCTAACGATAACTTAAAAATGGGGAATAACATAATTGAGGGGAAAACAACTTAACACGTCAAACAAAGATATTGGAAATCTATTCAATTTACTCAAACTCTAGTTTACAACAACAATTCAAAATGATATAGCAGGGACAAATCCTTAGATAAAGAGAAAAAATGCATTCCTGGAAGTACAAAAGAGTTCTTTTGTTTTAATGGCACATTCATTTAATCATTACTTCTTTCTTGCATCCAACCAAGATCACAATGCACGATAGGGTGTCAAGAACACACAACATGGGCATGTCATTAATGTCAACGATCTTCACACAAATGGTCTGCTTGTTATGTTATTGATCAAATAACTCAACATAAATCACATTATATCTTATCAATCACATGTCGACATTCTCCCTAGTAAGGCCTACTCCACACCTCCCCCTTCTACTTCTCAGATTCTTTTACATTTCCACCCAAATATTCATGTAGAGATCAATGGATCAAGTATGTATAAAAAGTGATAAGCCGTATTTGACAACAAGTGTTAAATCTAAAAGCATGCATGTCCAAGATAAGAAAAATCAAGGAAATGAAGGAACATTTACTGAGGATGAATTAAAAGATCCATAGCCTAAGTAAAGGCATAAGAAAATGATGAATCCTTCAACTCGGGCTCTAATGATTTTCTCTCATACTTGCAAGAGCTCCTACTAGTTTCCTAAAGTGCTTCTCACACCCTCTGTACAAGGGACTTCCTAGTTTTATAGGTGGAAAAAAAGCAAAGGGTTCATTGGCAGTTTTCGACAATCGACACTAAGAAATTAGAGAGAAATAGAAGATAGCTTTTGTCGTGCATGACACATAGCGAACTCTATTTGAGTGCTTCCCAACTATTATGGACAAATTCTACTCTCCTTTAATTCAAGCACAACACCTCTTCATCCTCTTCTGCAATTCTTCTTTTTTTCCCTCTATTGTCAATTTGTTTACTTGCATTTGAAACAACGGCAGAGACAAAAAATTTTATTAATGGTGGCAAAATTTGATGATTTTTTAATTATTCTCAATAATTTTTGGGTGCTTTTTTTTACTTTCTATTTATTAGTTCATAGTGCAGTAATAATTTTATTTAAAAAAAAATATTAATATTTATTTTTTAATAATTTATTTAATTCTATATTTTATTAGTTGTATTAAACACAAATCTATAATTACTTTATTTCACTTTAAATATTTAAGTATTAATTTTATTAAAAATTATATATAGGTTTGGGGAATTTTAAATGGTTAAGTGTTGCGGGCTTTTATTCTTGTTTATTTCTGTTAATGGGCCAGCAGAGCCCATGCCCCCAAGATCCCCAAAGTAGATCCACCCTTGTTTGAAGATCTAATAATCATACATGTTAAGCATATCCATATATGACACATATTATGTCTTATTATTTTCTGTAAATAATGGAACCGTCATAGGAGGCACCATCTAAATAGTACTGATTAAGATACTTCCATTTTCTTTTCCATTTCATGCGTACAGGAACATTGCATCCCCAAATAGTACTATAAAAGGGTGTACTTCATCAGTATATATGCATATGCAATTATTATATGTGAATCATTTTATTTGTATTTTTCAATATCATTTCATATCTTTATATCATGACCATTATATAACTTGTGCTAAATGATTGTTATATAGTAAAAAATTCATATCATTCACTTCAACATGAACAATTGTCTATAATAGAGATAAATCATAAATAATGTGTAATAACAATTTATAAGTAATTATCAATAATAAATGATGCATATGATTTAAAAGAAACAAAGTCATTACTATAAATTAGAGATCTTAAAGCTCACCTCACTTTCAAAAGTTCTATCATACTTTTTTTATTCCTTAAACACCACCATTTTTATTTTAAAACCTATATCAACATATGATCTCATTATTTGATGATATTTAACTATTTAAGTATATAAATTTATATTTTACGAATAATATTAATTTAATACCTAACATTTCATTAACAAAATTCTATTAGCACTTTAATTTATTGATTTACTTTTAAAATATTTATAGCATTAAAATTAATCTAAACTATAATATATATATATATATTTAAAAGGTACATTTTTATAATTTTAAATTTCTCCTTTCTTACACAAATAATTATTTTAACATTGACATTTAATGTTTCTCTTATTTTAAATCTACCTAAATAACAAATAACCTTGCGCTTATATATTTATTTTTCACTTAGAACCTATATAAGTATTTTATAAATCAACTTTGGTAATTTATGAATATAAACTATTCTTAAGATAATACTTAAATTATATTTAAAATTTTAGATTTATTATCATAAATTATATAGAACTATCCTAAAAAGTTGATAACCATATTCTAGGGTATGTGTGTATTAGAAATGTTATAAATAAGCCAAATTTCTTATCTTTCCTCAAACTCGCTCGTGCCATAGCCTCTCTCTCTCTCTCTCTCTCTCTCTCTCTCTCTCTCTCATCAAGTTCGTCTCTTCCCTTCCCATTGCCACAGGCCGCTTGATCCCTAATTAATGGCCCGCTCGTCGGTTTTATCTCCCATAATCATACTATCTCTTTTTCTCTCTCTCGGTCTATCCTCGTCTCCCTCTCATCTCTCGGCGATTTAAAGGGATGAAATCCCTTGTCTTTCTCAAAGAGAAACTAACGCAATTGCTTCATTCGAACCGACCTTTCCTTTGTCTTCCTTAACTCAAAAATATGAAACTAATGGAACCCACCCGTTCCTTCATCTTCCTCGATAGCAAATGATAGAATCACCTTGGTTCAGGATATTGCACTTGAGCAACTCAAAATAAAAATTTCATTTGTCATCACCCTTAAATCTTAAATTAATGCACTTATTAAATTTGGGTCGACTCAAAACTAATTTAAGCTAACAAAATAGCATTTTATTCCTATAGGGTTAATTTTGAGTTGACTTAGAATCAACTATTTTTTAGACAAGTTGACTCGACTAAATAAATTCCAATTTCAAATCGAGTTCAAATTGTGTTGAAGACATTCATTTCAAGTTTGCGTTTAATCAGCCTAACTCAAAAACGAGCTGATGCCAACCCATATCTTAGTAACTTCAGCCTACTGAACTTCAAAAGCAGACAAATATAATTGGCAATTGGCCACATATCTGTTAATTTGATTTATAAAGGATCCTTTGTGCTAGGTAGGATCACTGTAACAGAAAAAACATCCATCATAAATTACCAAGTATTCAAATTCATAGTAGGTTGTATGGCTAAGGCATAAATTATCAGAGTTACTATGGCCAAAATTTATTTGATTTCAGTCAAATATCTCATTTCAAGCTTCATGAATTTCTGCTATTACAGGAAGGAAACACTCTCTTAGTTATCTATTTTTTCCACCTGCAATCCTAGTTCAGTAATCCAAATCATGGTTGTATAGCCTACACGGATATTCCAAATTAAGTTTAAGCGGAATATTGCATCTATGCCACAAGAACCACTATCCAGATAAGAATGCATTTGTCTGTTCAAAATAACACGGCTAAAAAACAAGGGAATACGGCGCCGATAAAGGTCGTATATCGATTTACAGTTCCTTGCTAACCAAAGACTGTATATAAGTAAGGCACAAGGAAAACACTAACTCGAATTGCCCATGTTTTTCCTATGTAACCTATGGCATCTCACGCCACATGAAAGCCAAAATAATAGGAAGGTGGTTTTGGTATTGAGTGAGATACTTTTCAATACAAGAGGACAACAAAATTATCAAAAAAGGTAAAATCAAGTATTAAACCAGGATGACTATTCAAAATATATCCAAATAACCTTCAAATTATTCATGCTGAATAATTTTGTTAACAAAAAGGTATAAATGTCCTGTTGTTGGTAGTAATGAATAATGTTTCAATTATGTATACCCAGATAAGTGGAAAAGCCCGAATGTTAATCATAATTTAAATATGAATGCCATCCATTATCGATTAATAAGAGGACTGGAATTGTTTCTTTCTGGCAAGGTACGAAGAAGAGCCAAAAAGCAAACGGAATTATGTTGATTGCTAGATTATGAGAAATTGAGAATACAGACTATTAAAGAGAAAATGGAACTGATGGTGGATGTACAGCTCTTCCTTTATTTATTAACCCATTATATGAAACTTCAATTCATTATATTCATTTCTCAAATCTTTAAATGGTTAGACAATATATTGTTAAGTATATCTTTGTGACCATTTACTTGTGTTCGAAGTATTCGTTATTTTCACTTGATGATACCGTAAGTTTTGAAAGCTCATAAAAAAACAATTTTCTTGCCACATAAAAATACAAGCCTACCAAATTAAATACTAAACTCCAGAAGCAGAGGACTGAAACATTTAGACACTAGCATCCTTCCTTCAGATTCATGAAAGATGACTTACCACATAATTCTATCGAAAAGAAGAAAAATCAAAGTTGATTACCTGCATCCACAAGCAAATGATGGTCATTGGAATTAGAAGGAGCAAAACCTGCCATGTAACCTTAGACATCACACCAACTATACCAAGAAGTTGAATTGTGGTTGACGCAAACCCACCAAGTCTGAATGGAATATCAAGATCAACAACACTTTGATCTATTGAAACCTGATAATTCATAAAGTTGGATAGATAAAAAATTCAAAAAAATAAAAGGAAAAAAGCATTCATCCCAAAAGGAACTAGAAAAAGTGACCAAGACCAAATATCAAAAAGGCCATAGGGCTACAACTACTTACACGATTCAAAATTCTCCCCGTTGGGGTGGAATCATAAAATGACATAGGAGCCCGAAAAATAGTTCTCAACATCTTCATAAACAACTTTTGTGCAGCTGCTAGGCCAAAAGTAGCCACAAGAACTGCTCGAAAAAAGACAAACCAAGAGCTTCCAAAAGCAAGTGCCATGTAAACCACGAGAAGAAATGTACTAGTCATCTTTGGCTTATCACCATGTGTTTGGGGATTTGCCCAAGCCATCCACCAGTTACTAGCGATCTGCAAAACCTGAAATGTCGTCTGCGACAAAATAATCAAAGGTATTAGTGCTCCTTTATATGCTGCAGCCATGTATGACAAGTACACCTTCAAACTAATTTTTCCCCTTTCTCGCTCTTCTTCTTGAACAAGCTGCTTTTTTCTGCTGCGTTTAGATTTCTTTTTTTCCTTTATAACATTTCTCTCGGATGGAGACTCCTTTACTAGTGCTTCAGTTCCCATGCCATCAGCATTGCTTACACTTGATGCTGATCTTCTGCCAAGCATTGATACATCCTCCAACATGCATTCTGGGATATCCATTGCTTCAATTGCTTCATGATGAGCTGAAACCAATGCATTGAAGTCAGTTCCAGCTTTTAGAAGATCATCATATTTTCCAGCCTGTATTATGCGACCCTCTTTAAGTACCTGCATAAAATGGATTGACAAGGTCAATGGAGAAATAAGTACAAGACCATGTACTTCATAAACAGAAAACAGTTCCTAGGAAGTTTTTTTGGTCAACTCACTTTTTACTCCATATAGTTTGGCTATGGTTCCACTTTGATCCCTATAATTCCACTTGTCCCAATCAAATCTCTATAGTTTAAAAAGCTAAAATCGCATCCAAAATTCAAATGACATTATGAAGAATACCAAATTCCTTCCAAACAAATCAGCAAAAATCTAATATGTTATGTGAGAATTTTTGCTGGGTTTAAGTTAGGCGTTGGGTCTAACTGACAAGTTATCTTTTGGCCATTTCATTTGGACAGAATAAGATTTCCTCGGTTATATCATTTTGAGCCCTGGATATGGTTATAATGATTTAAAGTACAATGGTTTGATAAGGACAATTGAAACTGTAGAAGCAAAACTGAAACTAGAGCCAAGCTGTAGGGATTAAAAGTGGCTTACCCAACTTTTTTGCAATGGATCCACATCTTTCCGCAATATTATTGAAACAAGAGTCAATCATAATAAAGTTATACGTTTAACAAAAATTAAAAGGCTTGCTGCTCGTGCTAGACAAGTTGGAAGCAATAAGGATACAGCCAATTTATAATAATAATCAGTGAAATATGGTGAGAAAAAATATTTATCCACATGCAATAACATAATTTGGAGTATGAAAAAAAAAAACCAAGCCTGGCATAATAAATTCAACCAAGTACAAACAATGAAAAAAAAATTAGTTAAAAAGTCATACATATTATATATCTGATTGTCTCCATGAAAGACTCGTTTAAAGACAATCTTAAAACAAACCAAATATTTTAGGAACTTGCCCAAATTGACAACCACAAAAAAGCTCCTAGTTAAAACAGTAAAGGCCCACACACCAGTATCAAATCAGCAGCTGGAAGAAATTCAACTTGATGGGTGACAAATACCACGGTCTTGCTGGCCAGGGCAGATAAAATATAGTCCTACAATCCATGATACACATCATTCAGAATCAAATAATTTTTATAAGTAATATAGTTTTGTAGGGCTCAAGTGGAGAAACAATTTGCAAACCTTGAACAAATCGCTCCCAGTATGAGCATCAACTGCACTAAATGGGTCATCGAGTAAATAAATGTCAGCATCCTGATAGAGCGCTCGAGCAAGTTGAACCCTCTGTTTCTGGCCACCACTTAAGTTTATCCCTCTATCACCAATTATTGTTTGATCTCCATGGGAAAATAGCTCCAGATCCCTTTTTAGTGAGCAAGCATTAATAACATTCTTGTACCTTTGCTTGTCCATTGGGCTCCCAAATAGGATGTTTTCCTCGATATTTCCTGACTGTATCCAAGCTGACTGAGAAACATAAGCCGCAGAGCCACTTATCTTAACCTGAGAAAGATATATCAAACAGCATTGACAAAATCGTTAACATCTATGGAGAAGAGATAGAATAAAATAAACATTAACAAATCACTTACTTCACCGGAAAGTTTGGGTATTTCCCCCAGGATACAAGAGAGGAAGCTCGACTTCCCAGAACCTACCACACCACAGACTGCCACACGCTTCCCCTTCTCCACTACCAATTGTATTGATGAAAGTGTAGGTTGAGAAGAACTAGGGTCCCAACAAAATTCTCCATCTCTAATCTCAATGGCTGTGCTTCCAAGCCCACTAGGAATAACAATCGTGGCATCAAATTGCAACTCCTCCTCTTGCAAAAAACCTGCTATTCGATCAACAGACACTTTTGTCTGGGCGATCATTGAAACCAAATCTGGAAAGTTTCTTAGAGGCTCCTGGAGAATCCGAAAGGTGGCCAGTGCAGAGAGCACACCACCAGCAGTGAGCTGACCACCTAGCAATATGCAAGTAGCAAATGTCACAACAGACACAAAAATGGGGGATCCCCAGAAGATAAAAGTGATAAAAGCCTGAGAATACAAGGCTTTCCGGAGCCAACTAAACTCCACATTTCTCATCTCTTCTAACTTCAATCTATAGCGATCCTCCCAAGCTTGAAGCTTCAGGATTCTCATGTTTCTCAAGCATTCTGAGGTTGTCCTCATTCGATCATCCTTGGCAGCCATGAGATTATCTTGATATTCCTCTTGCATCTTTGCAAGAGGAATGGTGATAGCAATGGACACAATAGTTGCCACAAGTGTTGCCACCGAAGCAATTCCAACATTCTTGTATAAAATAGCCAGAGCAAGAACGATTTGCAAGGGAAGCATCCATATGTCATGAAGATACCACGAGTAGTCACCTACCCTTTGTACATCCACCGCCATATAATTAACAATCTCCCCAATGGTGTGACTCTGTCGTGCTGTGCTTGATAACCTTAGTCCTTTCCTATAAACCAGCGCTGTCAAAGCCGATCTAACATGCATGCCTAATATATCTACTCCTAAATACCATTGTCTGGTCGTAACTGTCTCTAGCAACTTTGCCACAAAAAATACTGATGCCAGGACGTAACCTTCATGAGGAAAAGCCACATCTCCACTCAAGTAATCAACGAAATATCTTATCATATATGGTCCAACATAAGATACCAATGTGTTTAATCCAGCAAAGATGGCATTCACCGTTGCTTCTTTCCAAAACGAATGAAGAATCGCCAATGCCAAGGAGGGCTGCTTTGAAGGGTTCTCAGCTTTCAATCTCTCCCAATTTGAATTCAAGACCTTATATGAAGTTTTGGATCTGTCTTTATGAGCCAGCAATGGCACATCCCTCAGCTCAAGGGGCCTCTTGGCACCTATAGAGAGTAGAGGGTTGAGCCAAGACAGGGTTGCAAGGCTGAAAAACCCTGCTTCACTGTAGGGGGTGACCTTGAGGCAACCAGCTTCCTCTTCCTCAGCAAGTAGAGGCTCATGAAGATCAGAATTTCTCCTGTACACATCTATGCCAGAAATTCCACGGATGGAGGCAATGGAAAGGAAGGTAAGAGCAGGAGCAGCAGCATAATTCGCCACCACATGAGAGCTTAAGTGAGCGCACTTATCAAAAAACCCTCTGGTATCAACATATCCAATATAAAGACAAAGGCAGAACGACACAGGCCACCAAAGCCTAACCAGAAAGGGAAACTTTATCGAGACCTTAAACCTACTTCGTAATGCCGAGAATATTACAGCAAGCCAAGCGATTGCCTCAACGCAGGGTAAGTAAAATACGGAATAATCTTCGAATCCGAAGCGAAAAATACGTTGTGTTTCATAGCCGAGAACTATTATCTGGAGGAAGAGGAGGTAGAGGGTGCAAGAAATAGCGACCTTGAACCAACATCGGACGATAACGATCACCGGATCTCTAACGGCACCACCAGAGTCGGCGCGAGCCTGGACGAGATTACCATCATCATCCTTGAACGGGATCACCCGAGACAAGACACGGTAGAAGACGCGGGTTGTGGAGGACAAGAATAGGAGGAGGAGAAGCAAGAGGTTTGCAGCGAAGGAGAGCTTCTCCGGCAAGGGTAGGGCTTCAAAGGAACTGAGAAGAGAGGGGCCGAGGAAGAGCAAACCCATTTTCCCGCCAGGAGATCGGAGCCGGATTGAAGATACTGGAATTGAGCAACAGATTTCGGAGAATATCTAGCCAGTTCACGGGTTTCAGCTACGGGCATTGCACCGCGAGAGGTTTTTTACCCTTCGGATAAGCAGAAACAACACGGAGAGAGAGAGAAAGAGGACGGCAACAGCTAGCAGCGACTAGAGCGGCGAAGGACACATTGCAGAACCAAACAAAAATGGCACGTCTTCCACCCCTTGATAGATAGAAATCACTCTCACGAAGACGACAAGGGTGTGAAAAGTCAGAAACCGAGAAAAGCTTCAACGCTACCAACCTCCTCCGTGTCCTTCCGCTCAGCTTTCCCTGTCAGCAGACTCCCTTCCAACAGAGAGAGAGAGAGAGAGAGAGAGAGAGAGGGTAATGGGGGGGTGGGGGATGGGGAGGAAGAGAGCCGTGGGACGTGTAAAGAGCGAAGAAAAAGAGGAAAAAAAGATCAAATTGGTTTTGTTCTCTTTCTCCTCTTTGTCCGTCTACTTCTCCGTTCACAAGAGTGATTGCTCCCAAGCTCCCTGAGTTTTCTTCTCTCGCTTCATGGGTCGATACAGAATTCGGAATAAAATTAGTTGCAGAGTTGGATTCAGGCTTTGAAGGAGGTGGCGCTGCTCAGATTATTGGTTAATTGAAAAAAGACGGAGAGATTCCTAAAAAAAATAAATAGACAAATAACTGAGTCCAAGTGTACAACCAGC